CGGCTAAAGCCGTGGGCAATACATTGTCTACGGCTTCAGCCGTGAGCAATGATTTTGAACGAGTCTCAGCCGTAGGCAATGGCTTTGAATGCGGCTTATTGACTCACCGCGTCGCTGCTGGATGGCGGCGTGGGAAATCGGCCGCTTTCCGCACAGATAACACGCAGACAAAGTGCCACTTTGCCTGCACGTGTAATACAAATAATTTTTTATTCTCTTTCAAACACTTTTTCCTGTTTTCATTTTTTTTAATCTTCTCTTATTTATTTTATTCAATATAAAATGATAGATGGCATATAGTATATACAAATAGATAATTTTCTATAATTTAATTGTTGAATATAAAAATTAATAATTAATTTCAAATTAATTTAATAATTAAATTATTAATTATTCAGATTTTTATTTATTAGTTATTATTTCCCCTTTTACATATTTATTTCATATTTTTATTCCTATTTCATATATTTATTATTATTATTTCCTATAATATTTATTTTTAATTATAGGTAATTTTCTCGTAACGGTGAGTTAAATTAGAAATGACTGGTTTTTTCATTAAATCTCATAATGGATACATGTTCTCTCTCTTTCTTTTCCTAGACGTGCGTGTCTTCAGATACATAATATACAACTTTCAGATTAAATCAGTATCTTCAAATTAGTTACAATCAGTGTCATTTTGCAGCTTAGAAAACATTTGATGTTCTATATTCGATATCGGACATTTCTCTCCCCTCGTTTTTCTTTCAAACCACAAAATGACACTGACGATTCTAATCCGAGGTACAGAAATATTCTCGGCCCACTATTTTCAGTCACGACGTTTCAGTCGTGTCTGAAATTATATAATTGACTATCATTTACATCTTTTAATAAAAATAAAAACAGTGTCAAGAATAATAATATACATTTATTTGCACAAAGATAAATAGCTAATCAAATACTGTAATATAAGCTGTATATACATTTCATTGAAAAAAGAATATAAAAATGCAAAAAAAAAAAATGGACGGTCCACATAATCGATGTCAGTAGCTCGCGAGCGCAAAACTCATAACTCGTGAGACTCATGAATAAGCACGCGACATAACGAGCCTTTTCCCGTGGGAATTTTATACGAGACGAGAATATATCGTGAGAGATCGTGATAACGAAAAACAGAAGGAGAGAGAGAAATATGTAGGTATAATATATACAGGGTGATTCCAAATAAGTGCGAAAAATTTTAGGAGATAAATATTTGTCAAAAATTAAGGGGGTCTTTCATATAAACATATATTCTTATATTCTTCCCTGAAAAATTACTCTTCTAAAGGGAGGTGGGAATTGCGTTTTCATTTTTTTCTGAAATTTTGAATAAAAAGTTAAAAGATGAAATTTGGTAGATATTTTGTACTAGTAAAAAGGATACTTATTAATATTTTTTAATCCTCCCGTATATTATATAAAGGGATGAAACTAGTAACCCCTATTAAATGTTTTATTAGAACTTTTTAACGAGTCGGAATGTGATGATTTAAAAATGTGTTAGAATTTTTTTCTACCTTGAAAAATCCTGGAATACTCATGGAATTTATTTGAACTCAGGGAATTTTTTAAAAAATTGCACTTTTGATTTTATTTTCACATATAGCTTCAAAGAATATAAAATTTATTAGGTTTATATAAAGTATATTAAAATATATTTTATTATAAAATATAACATTATTATATTAAAAAATTATTTATTTATGTGAAAAAATTATGTATAACAGAAATAAATTTAATTTAAAATTGTATTCCAAATTTGTTAATTTTACTTGGAATTTTGATCAAGAATACCTGGAAAATTATGGAATTTATTTATAAGATTTGAGTATACACCCTCAAAAATGTCGAGGGAGGCCATCATTTTTTGCATGTTCCTAATTTTTGCCATCATGTATCTTCATAATTAAACCTTAAATTAAAATTCTATTAAAGTAAACTCTACATGAAATTAATCAAAGAATATGATTTTGTTAATATTTTATTTCCACACGGTTTAGTTTGCGAAAAAATTCTTCAATCGCTTATAACTCGAAAATCATTGACGTCTCGACATTTTCGTTCGGGAAAAATCGTCTCCAAATTATCCCAGGAATCTGCCATTAACAGGTTTCCTACTAGTTCTGGGACACCCTGTATGCGAGTGCACTTCATATCATCTGGCTCTTTAGGTAACCGCGCGCGAGAGGCGGTCAACAGGGACTAAAGGAGAATATAACAGGTGAACGGGAGTGGGAGAGGACTCTTTTCTACGTGATCCTCGAAGAGTGGCATTATCCCGCCGGCCGGCGCCGCGATAGCATCTGAAACGGCGCGCGAGCGAGAGGAGACGACGACGAGGTCGACGAGTGCATAGCGGCGTTGCTGCACGCGCGCATCGCACACGTATATATGTTACGTATATACGTAGCTGGGTAGGTGCGTTCCCACTTCCGTCGAGAAAAAAGCGCCGGGCCGATCTCTGTCTCTCTCACTTCCTCTCGGGGGTCTCGCGGGTCAATCGGAGCACAATTTCCGCTTGCTCGCATCCTCCTCTTCTCTCGCGGCCAAATTGATCCCCAAGATCCCCCGTGATCGGCCGACGACCCGCGAACGCGAGCCGATCCGCCCCCGGAAATTTCAGGGCGTGTTCGGAATTTTCAAGGACGCGTCGCAGGTATCTACAGGTGCTCTCCAAGAGTCTAGCGGCTATTGAATTTGTCGCACTTTCGCAATGCGATTGAATATTGCCAGTGAGATTTTTAAATTAGTTAGATAAGGAATAATAAAAATTTGTCAAACACTTTGTGAAAAAACAAGGACACTTTGATTTCTTTAAATGGAACCATTTTGTGTTTTTTTTTTTTTTATGTAGAGGACATATAGCAAAACAAATTCAAGTGAGTACACATAATGTCGTTTGAGTTACATTACAACTCAATAAGTTATTTTAAATTTGCTAGAAAATATATTTCTTCACTATTAAAATTCACGTCAATAACTTGACCTTATGTTTTCCACACATAATAATAGTTCAGCTATTAACCTGATCAGTAAACTTATCAGTTTATGAGTACCGGATATAATGAATCACTTGTAATACGAAAAAGATAAAAAAGTTAATAAAGAAAAGATAAATAAAAAAAGATAACTGATTTTCCGTTCATGACATTTTTTATCAGATCATCATAAATTCTTAAAAATTGTAATCACTCTGTGAGAATACAAAATTTTCTGAAGAAATCATAGATTAGATAAAAATTTATAGATACACATCTATAGATACACATATAAAATGTAAGAAAAATCTAAATATGATGATACTTGTATTAATAAAATTAATTTAATGATTCGATCACGAGATTAATGATCCATATGATTAAGAAAATGTAATCTATATTTTTTTTTCAAGCTACAAAGTGTGTTGATTTTTTTCGTCCAGTTCTACGTATAATCCAGGTCATTTTATAAACGTATGTTATTGAATTAATAACGAATTTTTCTTTTCGTCTTATCTAAATAAGTATCATGGTAGGCGTAGCGTGTTGCGGAACATATCTCGCTGATCACGTATGCAAAGAGTTTTTCGCCTTCGTCGCCACATACCATTTAATTAATATACACTATATTTCTCCCATTCCAGAGAGGGAAAATATTCCAGAGGACTTGCTCCAACAGAGATCGGATTAAATTCTCTGGTAAACGTATCTATTTTATCCATTTCACGAACGCATTTCTTTCGTTCCTTCCTTCTCTCTCTCTCTCTCTCTCTCTCTCGCTCTAGATTCTACATAACCATCTATTCTATTCCATTCTATTCTAATGTATTCCCTCTCGCCTGAAACTTCCGCCCTCTCCAAAGTACTCGTTGTGCAAACGAGTACAAGTGGAGATAGAGAAAGAGGGAGGAGAAAGAGAGAGAGAGAGAATATGCGTGACGCGACTCTGCCGCGATGAATGATTTATCGCTCGCTCGTTCGCTCGCGGATTATCTGGTACGCATAAATTACACACTTCTCTCGCGAAACGCGAAGCAAAATGTCCGTGTGTGCGAGACGACGACGGCGGCGGAAACGCGAAACGCGGTTAACGGTATCGCCGGAAACCGTGGCCGATCCTGTCGAAGGAAGTGTCGAAGCGCACGTGCACATATACAGGATGTAACTTGTTTCGTACTTACAACGACGATCAGAAGATAGCTAATCGTAAAATATAAGTATTAGTTGAAAATATGGTCTTACGCGATTCGCTGATAAAAATACGTGGGGATAGCCCCAAAATATAAATAGAGAAGCAAACGCTTCTCCGACACACTTCTCAACATTTCTCTGTAATTACTTCTCGGCGAAAATATACATAAAGCTGCGCGTGTATCGACAACAACCTTTTGTACTCAGACGAGCGGTATACTTGGACGCCGCAATAATAAATCCTATACTACAAGGAGCGGAACATAATAATTATTCCGTGTGGATATTCCACACGGGTTTATCTATCCTTCGTTGCATCCTGCAATCAGAGGAACGGCCTCACGGCTGGAACATCATCTCGCAATATAAAAAACGTTGGGTAGAGAACGCGCCGGCTTACAACTGGCGCATCAGTTCTCAAATTATTATTAAACATATTGGTCCTTCGAGCCGGATAAATTTCCGGAGGCGTCGGACGTCTCGAAGGAGACGAAACCGACTCAAGTCTGAGTGCGGATCCACGGCGAGGGTGTCGGCTACGTACCAGGACGACAGCCAGTTTGGAGGACGGTGACCGGGCCTGCCGAGCTGCACGCAGGGAGAGACGATATTCGTCGGAGCGGCACCTCGAGGGGCGGCGTGGCGCCAGGCAGAGAAGAGGACACGTAACTGGGTAAGCGGTACTTAAGCCTGCACCAATTCTATTTTTTGCGCTGCGTAAGTGACCTATTTATTTATTTATTTGCAAATACTTGATTCGCGTCGGTCAGTATAAACTGTGTGTAAATCGAAAAAAGAAAAATGCCGATCGACCGTAGCCCGGGTACAAGTAGCGCGAGTGCGTCGACGTCAAATGTGACGGCATCAGAGATAGCGGCGCTGAAAAGAAAGCGCGGAATAATAAAGGGTTCGTGCACGCGGATAGAAACGTTCGTGAATAGCGTGAACGCGGTAGATGACGATGCACGAGCGCAATTGGAAGTAAGGCGCGCGTGCTTAGACCCAATAAGGGAAGATTACTGCAAGGTGCAGTCGCAATTAGAGGCAATAGACGAGGCCGAAATAGAGGACAGAGACGCGTTCGAAGACAAGGTATATTCGTTGTGCGCGAGAATGCAGCGATTATTGCGAAATGACAGCGGTCAAAATAGTCCGCGGGCCTCCACGCCAGTATCAGCGCGATCCGAGAGCGAAGCCGCAACATACGTCCGTTTACCAAAATTAAATTTACCGTCTTTTTCCGGAAAGTACGAGGAATGGTTCCCGTTCCATGACACTTTTATTTCGGTCATACATAATAACAAAACATTATCTGACATACAAAAATTTCAATATTTACGGGCGTCGTTGACGGGTACAGCTCTCGACATCGTCAAAACATTAGAGATATCAAATAACAATTACGACCTTGCGTGGAATATTTTAAAAGAGCGTTATAATAATAAGCGTGTAATCGTGCAGACACACATAAAAGCGATATTCGAATTAACGGCGATTACGAAAGAAAGCGCGAGTGGCATTCGGCAGCTGGCGGACGGTGCGGCGGCACACGTGCGCGCGTTAACTGCATTGGACTGCAACGCCGACAAATGGGACGCGTTGTTAATACATATAATTACGTCCAAATTAGATCACGTAACATCTAGGGAGTGGCATTCCTCCCTGGGGGGCTCGGAGTTGCCCGCATTTAAAGAATTAATTGATTTTCTCGCCCATCGCAGTCAGATTTTAGAGGAGTCGGCTGGGGGGGGATCAAGCGCTTCCGAGCGCTCCGACATTCGTTCGCGGGCGCGATCGACTTCGGGACGGCGCGCGCTGCATGCGACGGTCGAGGGGGGAAGATGCACTTATTGCGGGGGTGCGCATTTAATATACTTTTGCAAGGGATTTCTAGCGCTTCCGGTAAATCGGCGCATAGGTGAGGTGCGCGGTCGAAAACTCTGTTTAAATTGCTTGCGTAGCCGTGATCACGTGGCGGCCGAGTGCTCGTCGAGCGGCTGCAGGACATGCAAGTTGAAGCATAACACTCTGCTACATCTCTCAAACTAGGGGGGGGGAATTGAGAATTCGCGGGCCGCCGGCTCAGCGGCGGACGGTTCGACTCCGATTGCGGGCGACCCTGCCGTCGTGGTCGCGCACGGCGCGGTCGGGGGTGACGGCGCGGAGCCCTTACTGTCAACAGCGGTTGTTTACGTTTACGGCGCGGACGGTTCGCGGATGTCATGCCGTGCCTTGCTGGATGCAGGAGCACAGGCGAATTTTATTTCAAATAAATTCGTGGCAAAGTTGAGATTAAAAACATTGCCTACGGAATTGTCAATATCGGGCCTATTCGGATCGATGTCCGTCTTAAATCGGATGGCGCGAGTCAGATTCCGGTCGCGACTGAGTTCGTTCGAGGCCGAGCTGGACTGCGTTGTCACCGACCGAATCGCGGATAGAGTTCCGGCGAGCACACTGAGGCGTCAGGCCTTCAGGCTGCCGCCCGGCATCGATCTAGCGGATCCGAAATTTAACATATCTTCCGACATCGATTTATTGATCGGGATCGACTTATTTTGGCGGCTGGCGTGCGTGGGCCAAATTCATGCGACATCCAAGCACCCTCTTTTACAAAAAACACGTCTTGGCTGGGTTTTGGCCGGGCGTACGGGTGGGGGCACCTCACGATCGAGCGCCAAATTGCGTGCGTTACACGCGACGATTAATAACGCGCAGCTCCACGAACGAGTTGACCAATTTTGGAGGATCGAGGAATTAGCGGATTCTAACGGTTATACCCGCGACGAGCAGGCTTGCGAAAGTCACTTTATGACGAACGTGTCGACGAACGATGAAGGCCGATATATCGTGAAATTGCCGCTAAAAGAGGACATATTTCAACGGCTCGGCGAATCGCGCGAAACAGCGATAAGGCGTTTTCTTGCGCTCGAGAAGCGGCTCAACCGCGACCCGGGTTTGAAGCGCTCCTACGCGAATTTCTTACGCGAATATCAATCGTTGGGGCACATAAGAATCGCACCTGCAAGGTCGATCGAAGGTAAACCTGTATATCTGCCGCATCACGGAGTAATAAAGGGGATCGGTCCATGCGCGAAGTTGCGCGTGGTTTTCGATGCCTCGTGCAAAACCAGCACGGGAGTTTCGCTCAATGAGGCTTTACGAATAGGTCCGGTGATTCAACAAGAATTGATAACAATATTAATGCGGTTTCGAACGTTCGTATATGTCTTTGTGGCGGACATAATCAAAATGTATCGTCAGATACTGCTGCACAAATCGCAGACGCATCTGCACAGGATAGTGTGGCGAGAGGACTCTGGAGCGCCGATCGGCGAATACGAATTGCTGACGGTCACGTACGGTACGAGTTCGGCGTCGTTCCTGGCCACCAGGTGCCTTCAGCATCTGGCACAAAAACATGCGGACGAATTCGCGATCGGGTCGGGATGCGTGCTCCGGGATTTTTACGTCGACGACCTGCTCACCGGCGCTAACACCCTGTCGGAGGTGAGGCGCGTACGCGAGGAGACGGTTGCGCTACTGAAGCGCGGAAGGTTCGAGCTCGGCAGGTGGGCATCAAACTGCCGAGAATTATTGAAGGACGTGGAGGGTGCAACGGATGCGAGCGTGTCTCTGGGCGGGGACTCGAGCTCTAAGATCCTGGGAATTGCGTGGGATCCCGTTATCGATAGTTTTAAATTCGATTATGAGAGCGGATCGCCTGCCAATTGCATAACCAAGCGAACGATTTTATCAGAGATCGCGAGCCTTTTCGATCCGTTGGGGCTACTGGGGCCATTGACGGTAGTAGCAAAATTAATTCTGCAAGACACATGGCAGACGCAGGTCGGATGGGATGAGTCGCTGCCGCAGGACATACATACGCGTTGGCTGGGAATAAAACAGCAATTGACGAATCTCGGTGAGTTACGCGTGCCGCGTTTCGTGGGCCGCGTGATCGATGCCGGGGGTGTGCAGCTGCACGGCTTTTGCGACGCGAGCGAGCGTGCCTATGGTGCGTGCGTGTACGTGAGAGCGTACAATTCCGGAGAATGCCGAGTGCGGTTGTTGGTCTCGAAATCGCGAGTCGCGCCTATGAGGGCAATATCATTACCGCGCTTAGAGCTGAGCGCGGCGCTACTGTTGGCAAAATTGATAGAAAAGGTTCGAGAATCGGTCGGACTTCCCGCCGCGGGGGTGGTTCTGTGGTCGGACTCCACCATTACATTGCAATGGATTCAGTCTTCGTCGCGAAAATGGAGCGCGTTCGTCGCGAATCGAGTCGGGGAGATACAGCGCTTGACCGAGGGCGCGGATTGGCGGCACGTGCCGTCCGCGGACAACCCGGCCGATATATTATCGCGTGGCGCGGACTTGGCGGCTCTGGCTGTGTCTGGTCTATGGTGGGAAGGACCGGCGTACCTTCGACTTAACGAGGGACATTGGCCGATTAGAAACATCGAGATATCGGGAGAACTGCCCGAGCAGAAAAGGGTGATCGCTGCCGTGGCGGTCGGAGATCGATCGATAGTCTCGGGTTTATTGGAGAGATTTTCGAGCCTGGAGAAAATACTGCGAATAATATCATATTGTTTGAGATTCGGTCGTGCGCGACGGGCTGAGGAGATCGGGTCATTGATATCGCATCGGGAGATGACCGCGGCCATGCAAGTCGTGGTGCGTTGTGTGCAGCGCGGGTCGTTCCCGGGGGAATATCGCAGTTTGGGCGAGGGCCGGAGCATCGACGGCGGGAGTCGCATATTATCATTGTCACCGTTTATGGACGAGTGTGGCGTCATTCGCGTTGGAGGTAGAATAAGCAGGGCGGCGTTGCCGCCGGATGCGGTGCACCCCATGCTGCTGCCGAAAAGCCACGCTCTTACAACGCTAATTATTCGAGGAGAGCACGTTAGGAGCTTGCACGCGGGACTGCAGGCCACGATATGCGCGGTGCGTCAGCGCTATTGGCCCTTGGCGGCACGTTCAGCGGTTCGCAGGGTGTTACGCGAATGCGTAGCGTGCTTCAGGTGTAGGCCGGCAGCATCTCAGGCGGTGATGGCGGATTTGCCTGGGCCACGGGTAAACGTATCAAGGCCATTCACGCATACGGGCGTGGACTATGCCGGCCCGATATTTATAAAAGAATCCAAGCGGCGCAACGCCAGGATGCTAAAGGCTTACATCGCCGTCCTCGTGTGCTTCGCGACCAAGGCTGTACATTTGGAGGTCGTAAGCGATCTCACGGCGGACGCCTTCTTGGGGGCGTTTAAAAGATTTATGTCGCGAAGAGGCAGGCCGGCGTGCGTGTACTCCGACAATGGCACGACATTTATCGGAGCCAATAGGCAAATTAGAGAAATATACGAGGTAATCAGTAGCCCTGAAGGGCAGGAAAACGTGCGTCAGTTCGCGCGGCGGAACGAGTTCGTTTGGAAGTTTATACCGCCCCATGCCCCACATTTCGGGGGGCTATGGAAAGCAGCGGTGAAATCCGCGAAATTAATCTAAATCGCGTGGTCGGAAACGCGAACCTCACTTTTGAGGAAATGCAGACGGTCCTGTGCGAGATAGAGGCCGTACTAAATTCGCGACCATTAACAGCGTTAAGCGAGGATCCAAACGATCTCAACTGTATAACTCCGGGTCACTTTTTAATTGGTGCAGCGCTTAATAGCTTCCCAGTTACAGATTTAGCAGAGGAGAATCCGGGACGACTGTTGCGCTGGCAGCGCGTGGAACAAATGCGCCAGCATTTTTGGAAACGCTGGAGTACCGAATATCTGCACACTCTCATCGAACGGAGGAAGTGGAAGGCCAGCCAAGAACAGCAACTAAAATTGGTCAGCTGGTATTAATTCAGCAGCCAGGACTAGGGCCATTGCAGTGGTTATTAGGCCGAGTTGAACGAGTACATCCGGGCGCTGATGGGGTTGTCCGAACGGCCACGCTAAAGACGGCACGAGGACAGGTCACAAGGCCCCTGACAAAACTGGCGATATTGCCAATAAATGACACGGACAAACCTACGACCAACTAAATTATTTTGTACGCGCGTTCTTCTATATTGTGTTTGTCATGCATGTGACACGATGCGCGCCCTTTTATTTATTTATTTTTTTATATATTTATATGTCGTTTAACGTTGCGTTACGTTTCTTTTCCTTTACTTTTTTTATTTTTTATTATTATTGTAAAATGCGCGCTATATTTATTTTATTATTATTTTATATCGTTTAGCGTTGCGTTTTTTGTCATTGTAAAGCCGTTTCGTTTTCTTTTAATCAAGCATTTCTTTCATTGCATGTACTTGTTGCGTATCTGAATTTATATCACGCCGCTTGACACGTTCCCATTATTAATTGTTGAACGAGGCTCCATAACGAAATCATTACGACATGAATTTCATAAATCGACTAGTTACGGCGTTTAATTTGAAGACAGGATCTTCAAGGGGGGCGGGATGTTTCGTACTTACAACGACGATCAGAAGATAGCCAATCGTAAAATATAAGTATTAGTTGAAAATATGGTCTTACGCGATTCGCTGATAAAAATACGTGGGGATAGCCCCAAAATATAAATAGAGAAGCAAACGCTTCTCCGACACACTTCTCAACATTTCTCTGTAATTACTTCTCGGCGAAAATATACATAAAGCTGCGCGTGTATCGACAACAACCTTTTGTACTCAGACGAGCGGAATACTTGGACGCCGCAATAATAAATCCTATACTACAAGGAGCGGAACATAATAATTATTCCGTGTGGATATTCCACACGGGTTTATCTATCCTTCGTTGCATCCTGCAATCAGAGGAACGGCCTCACGGCTGGAACATCATCTCGCAATATAAAAAACGTTGGGTAGAGAACGCGCCGGCTTACAACCGGCGCATCAGTTCTCAAATTATTATTAAACATAACTAAACAAAGGTATACGAAGCACACCATCAGATGCAGGACGACAAACTAAATCGAAAAGTCCTGAACCATTTTTTAATCTGACCTTTATTTTTGACGCTATACATTGTTAAAGACTGACCAATTAGAGCATGGCCACGCCTACTAAGGCGGCGCCTACGCTGTTTTCCGTTGTAGCCACGCGCTAATTGGTCAATTTTAATCATTTATAGCGTTAAAAAGAAAGCTCAGATGAAAAAATGACTCAGGACTTTTCGATTTAGTTTGTTGTCCTGCACCAGATTGTGTGCTTCGTATACCTCTGTTTAGTTACACCCTGTATGCATATGTAAATAGACGCAGAAATGCACAATGCACTTCTCGCTGCTCGTAAGCAGATTACCCGCGTGACTGTTGCTGCCTAATTGCCCACATCGACCTAAATTCCGAAACCTCTCTCGGCTAAGCACCCCGATTGTAGGGGCGCAACCCCGTCAGTTGGTCCGGAGATTTCGGCGACGAGTGTTTAGTTAACGAACGATATCTGTTTGCTCGCCGAGGATGAATGACGTATATATATGAAGTTTACGCGACCGAGTTTTATTTGCGAAAACACTCGATAAAACCTATAGTGTGTGGGCGCTCTTGTTTACTTACGCATACAACTTGAATCGGGCAACGTGTTTGCTCTTTCGTAATCTTTTTAATATTTATGTTTTATATCATATTTTGTATTTATATTTGCATAAATTATTATGCAATATAATATTGTAAATATTATATTTATCAGGGTGTTTGCTCGGATCTTGTAAAAAAATTCCCTGAGAATTCCCTGATTCCCCGAGTATTTTTAAAATTTCAGGTAAAATAAAAAAATTGTAGACGTAGCTTTTAAAATGTTTCTCTTTTATATGTGCTTTCTAATGTTTTCCACATTCATACGACTGCAAAATTATCCAGAGTTTCTGTAACAATTAATACTGATTTATTAGATGTAAAATTAATTTTGGACAATAAAAAATATGATATATCATTATATTCAAACGTAAAAAATATATTAAAAAATATAAAATAAAAATTAAGTTTTACATAACTTTATCAACCTGAAATATCATTTTTGAGAGTACAAAAGATTGTTTCGAGGGAAACGAAATGTTTTTAATCGGTTAAAGAAGAAATTCCGATGATAATATTCGCTCCGCTGGACAATCGAGTGGATTCTCTCTCCCTCGTCTCGACTTTTCCACATTACTAATGGAGAAAAGCGTGCGCTTATTAACTTTTAACTCGCCGCGCCTCGCTTTTTCGCCGAGTGGGTACCTAAGTTACACGACGTCCCGATATTGCGCGCGATTTCCGAGTATATGCAAAGCAAGGAACACACAGTTATACGGCGATAAATGTCGAAGCACGCCGCCGGGTGTGTTTTATTTTCGCACTCCCGCGGATATGGAAATTCTCAATTTTCGCCCGACATTGCGTAATTTCCGTCTTACGGTTTCCTCGCCGCCGCGATTTCTTTTCGACTTAATATCCCGAAATGGAAAAGAACAGCGCGAAGAGAAAGAACTCGCTAAATAATTAAATTACAATCTCCTCTTCCGGTTGACACAAGTAAAATAGGATCAGGAAACTTATGAGCAGGTAATATTTTAAATAATATTCATTTAATATTAAAATTTTTCATTATAATTATTTAAATAAATATTCATTATTAATATAATAATGCATAATGTTTCTTCAAGCTTTTATCTCGCGCCCGATTTTGTTCCACGTGAAACTTTACGATTTCCATTCGCGAAAAAAAAAATGACAGTTTGCATTTGAAAGATTGAGTTGTCGGAGCCACTACTACTGTTGCCGGGATTCGCTTGCGTATAACGATCCGGAAGTTTTCGCTAGTGAAAAATCTTTGCGAGTGACGATGTACATAAAACGCGAGAGCAAAACGATCGAGCAAGAACCGAAACACGAGCGTAACTCTGTGCTAAAAGTTTCGTTGCCTGACGATTCCGGCAGAGTTTCGCGTTGCTCTCTCTCTCTCTCTCTCTCTCTCTCTGTCTCTCTCTCTCTTTCTCTCTTTCTCTCAGAGGCAATCGGTGAAATTCCAATTGAGTGTCGGGACCAGACTTTCAGGGAATAAATGAGAGTGTCGACAACTCACTGCGCGATTCGACGCTACTCTCTCACAATCACGTCAGAATTAAAAACACTCGTCATGTTCTGCATGCAAACAAACATAAAGCAAGGGAAGAAATTGTGTTTCGTAGATAATTATTGACAAAATTGCTTTGATTAAGATTGAATAATGAAGATACAGAGTTATTCAAAATGCTTCATCCGCGATTTCAAAACACTATTTTTTTTAAGTTTAGAAATACATAAGGATTAGTGATACATCAGCTAAAGGAAGAACTGTCCAAGTTTTGTATCACACCTTATAAGTACTCAATGTGACTTTTCTTAGTTACACAATTCATATTCCTCTATATTCATTCTAGGATATCCTTTGTCACTGACTCCATAACAATGCGATTTTTTAGTTCAATCAGGATTGTGTAACATTTGTACAGCAGGTCCTTAAGGGGACCCATCAGCAAACGACGAACTCCGACAAAATAGTAACGCCCTCATTTTGGAATTAAAAATATCGATAATTAGCGATCGATTTTCGAAGAATAATTACTGATATTTTGAATTGCACATTATAAATCATCCAGATCAAACATGTATTAGAAATCCATGTACATATGGCACACATGGAGTTACTTTTTGCTACGTATAATACTATTATAGGTTTGAATATGTATTGCTATTTTTCGCTCTATTATATCTATAATGCACGCACACATACGTACGAATCATAATACAAACTTTTATATTAGATTTCTAATCTATAGATTTAGAGGATAATGCTTTCTTTCGTGTATCTTAATCCCAAAAATCTTGTATTTATATTCACACAAAATGTATATTTTTTTTTTATATAAAGCACATAATATAATGAGTTGACATCTCGCCTGTCATTCAAGACGTCATATAGAGACAAAAGTAGATAAGGATAACTATAATTTCATAATTATTTCTCGTTTTTCATGTGAAATCGAACTTCCCTGGGACCATTGATGTATGTATTGCAATCGTAGGGAAACATTTTAATTCTGTCAAATTAATGCGACAAAAGACTAGAAGTATGAAAATAATAATTAGTCGATAAAACATACAATCGTGAAGGATTCCCTTAACGTATTCACAAAAGAAAAAGTGATGTAAGATTTGGCGATTTAAAGAATCAGCTATAAACCCCAAATCATGAGGTGTCTTTTTCTTTTAGGCTAAATTAAAGATACTGTACGTCCTTATGCTACTATTTCCCACAACCTTGGATAATCTCAAAAATTGCAATATTACATATGTGAAGCCTATATATATGCAAGAATACAGAAGAAATTCGACTATCATCTGATGTAACAAAGGAAATACCAAACATTTCTAAGATAAGACACAAAACTTGAACAGTTTTCCTTTTGGTTGATGTATCGCTAATCACTATGCACCTGTAAACTTTGCAAATACATTCATTTGAACCAGATGAATAACTTTGAATA